GGAGAGGGAGAGGGAGAGGGAGAAGGGAAGTTGAGCTGCAGCACAGTTTCAACAGGCGCCACAGTCAACCCTATAGGGAGTTTAAAAATTATAATTAACATTCACAGTTCTCCTGGATTGGGTTGAGGAGCCCTTGTGGCACAGGAGGTTAAGCGTTTGGCTGCTAATCATAAAGTCAGTGTTTCAATTCCACCAGCCTCCCTGAGGGAGAAAGATGAGGGTGTCTATTTCCATAAAGATTTACAGTCTCAAAATCTCTAAGGAGCCTTTCTGTTCTGTCCTATGGGGTCTTTTGTGTCAGAATTAATGCACTGACAATGGGTTGTTTGTTTTTTAATTTCAATATAGGGTGAGAATAAGCTTGGAATTTCTGATGCTTCCATTGACCAGGTTTTGCTGTTAATTGTTCTAGGGATGACCCATAACTTTGGGAGATTGAAGCTCTTTTCAACTAAGCCTATTATCACCTTAGGAAGCTGAACATTGAGACCTTGCCACATAGTACACGCAGCTGCCAGCAAAATAAGCTCTTTATTTCTGAAGGAAATGTGGGTGATTCAACTCTCCATGAAGTCTATTCCAATTTATGGCCACCCCTTGAGTGTAGAGTTGAACTGCTCCATAAGGTTTCTGATGCTGTGACCTTTCAAGAGCAGATGAGCATGTCTGTCTTCTGAGGCCCCTCAGATGCACTTGAACCTCCCTTCCATTAGTAGCTGAGCGCTTTGTCACTTGTAACCATTTGCTATTTTCATGACTATCCACAGAGTTCAAAAATAGCATTTCCAAAACCAGAATCTTCATGCTGACGTTCACTGCCTCAAAACTCCTTCTCCAGTTCCTTCTATCACAATGAGATGGTCACCCCACCTTCTTACTCAAGTAAGAAATTGAGGTGCCCTCCTAAATCTGTGTCTTTGTCTTGCTCCCACTCCACATCTAATCAATTACTAAGCCCCCCTAGTTTTACATCATAAGTAGCCCTCATATGAGTTTAGTTGAGGCCACTCTGCTGCTCCCACCAGTGGGGAAAAAAAAACCTGCACCCCAGCGCCCCCCCAAAAGTCATTGTCTTGCCTAAATGACCACATGTTTCTTATGACTCTGCTTTTCCTGCTCAAGTCAGTCTCTCCAGACCGCAGTCAGTGGTGGTGATGTTCAGTGCGTTATAAGCATCTCATTTCTCCCTGTCTCTAATTGGGCCCACAAAGGACTTCACCACCCAATGTCGCCAAGAAACTCTGCTTGTGCACGCTTTCGCCCTCTCTGTTCTTTCCACACTGGATCTTTACCGTGACTTGAAAAAGTGAGTTATTTGCTGCTTTCCCAATAATCCTGTCTCTACCTAAATGCTTTCCTTCCCTCTTTTCAAAGCTCGGTTTCTGTATCACTGACCCGGATAAGCTACTGGCGTACCCCAGACAAAGCTGAGCTCTCTGGTGTTCACTGCCAAAAAGGACGTCCTTCCTAGTGCCCATCACCTTATAAGACTTCACTTGTTAGATTTCTTCCTCAGATATTGGTATAAATAGTGTTCGTTTTATTAATTACTCTATCTCTGAACCTTGCATAATTCCAGGTACATGGCATGTGTTCAATAAATACAATTTTGCATGTGCTGTTCCTTGGCTGTTTACGAGCCTGTTTCTAGGCTCGTAAATCTCAAATTTACTTGTTTTCAGGTAGTTTCCTATGACTTACTCAACCCACCCCCTCTACACCCCCGCCCCCTCTACAACCCCCCCAAATAAAAATTTGTTGCTGTGTATTGTGTGCCATCACTTTATCTAATATATTCTTCCATGATGAATTTTTTCATTTAGCATTTGGAGTTTACAAACTAGCAACTTGTAAGTCCCGTTAGATCCTTGCCCATAGGATTTATATTTAGACATTAATTCCGAATATAACAATCAGTTTTCATAACTGATAAACTAGAATATATGGCAACACTAGGTGCAGATTCCCATAGGACAATTATTTACCAGAGAAGTAGCTGTCCACACTCAACAAAGCATGGCCTCCCAAATATGACTAACCCTCCCACCCGCAACATTCAGGTAGCAGGCCTGGCTACTTGGCACTTACATATGCAACTACTTGTGCAAGTTTACCTACTTGCAAGGGTTCATGATTTCCTTGAAAGAACCAGCTGGATTTTAATTCATCTCTAAATCTAGCATTACCTATCCTGTTGCCCTGGAATGTAGCAGGTGCCTAATAAATGTCCATTAATCATTTGACTGATAACAGGAGAGAAAAAGATTGATATTTCCTGTGGTTTTTAATTTCCATCAAATTTCAGTTTTATGGACACCACTGTGGAAAAGATAGTGTAATTAATTAATTAATTCAAATAATAAATACAAACCAGAGGATAGTTCTTAAAACTATATACTTAACACTGAATGACGTAATATTTAATCCACAGGGCTAGGTCCAGGCATGGCTTCATTTTAGGAAGACAAGATAACATAGCGCAGTAATTTAAAAAAAAACAAAAACTCATTGCCATCAAATCGATGTCACTTTGTAGTCACCCAAGAGTGCAGGGTGGAATTACCTGCTTTAGTTCTGAGACTCTGTTTAAGGGAGTAGACAGCCCCATTTTTCTCCCATGGACTGACTGTGTGGTTTCAAACTGGGGAACTTGCAAATAGTAGCCTAACATATAACCAGTACACCACCAGCTCAGCAATAGAAGCTTACAATTCAGGGGTTTTAACCATTTGCTTATATGGAGAAACTAAAACTTTGAGTTAGATAAATGGAGTAATGTCCAGATCTAGATAGAAGAAATACACTATCCTAGTAAACCAAATTGGTCTTAATAAGAGTCAAAGAACTCAAGTAGTGTTATTATATTAAAACAAAACAAGACCAAAAAATTCATTGACATTGGTTCAATTCTGACTTGTAGGTAAGACAGAATAGCACAGCGCCATAGGGCTTTCAGGGCTATAAATAATAAAGGAGAGAGCCTCACCTTTCTCCTGCAAAACAGTTGGTAGGTTCAAACTTCTGACCTTTTGGTTAGAAGCCCAATGTATAATACACTACATTATGAGAGCTCCTTCTGTGTTATGTTATACATATAAAAGACTGTAATGAGTATTGGGATCATTATTACTCCAATCTGAGCAGTGATAATCTTGCTCAGATTTTTCCACATCCACGACAGCTGATACTGACACTAGATTTTTGTTGTTGTTGTTGTTGTTGCTTTCAAGACTCAATGATTTCATAGTTTGCATCTGCATAATTCACATGACTCCAACACTCATCTGGTGCGTGTACATGTATGGCCCTGATGGCCCTGGAGGGTATACTTCTGGTTGTTAACTGCAAGGTCAGTGGTTCAATCTCCCTAGCCACTCTTATAGTCATAGTGTCCAGAGTGCTGTGTCATTGGAAAAATTGATGATGATGTTAGTGCTCCAGGGGGATGATTGACAGTGTTTTACTTTTTTTTGTTTCTATGGGTGTTTGTTTTCCTGCCTTTTGTTTGTTTGTTGTTTGTTTGTTCAAGTGATGGTTGGTTTGTTGTTGTTGCTGTAATTGGTCTTATGAAAGTTTGACTTTGTCATAATATGACCACCAAGGTAAACCTGAGTTGTCCATATCCCATGGGCATGCAGATGGATTCCGACTCCCACTGAACTCTAGCCCAACCCAAGAACAGATAGTTCGTACATCATGGCCTACTCGATACTCACCCTCAAGAAAGGAACATAAAATATGTTGGTGCTGTAGCAACATGTGGTGAAGAAATAAGATGTAAAAAAAATAGTGTCTGGGATCCTAAAGGCTTGTCTCCAAACAAGCAGCCATCTAAGTGAGGTATCAACTAAGTCCACATGGAAGAAGCACACCGCCAGTCACCAAAGGATTGTAAATCATATCATCCAAAGTAGGAGGAGAGAATAGTATCAGAACCTAAATTGTGAGAATCCAGGTTGTAGAAAGCTATGGATGACAGTAGGAGGCCAAGATACATTTGCAGGATCAAGCTAGGAAATGAAAGTTCCCTCTCTCCGTACCAGATGGATGGGAGGAAACTGGCTAGCAGAGTGCTTTGGAGAGATAACCATAGAAGATCAAAATGACAAACCTGACTTAAAGAGTCCAAACCTTGTCAGTTGATCTCCCCCACCCCTGATGCATGTTAGGCCTGAATTGGTTTCAACATTTTTCTATATTTTTTGTTTGTTTGTTTGTTCATATTGAGGTTTATCTCAGAAGTGTTATGTCATTGGGGTTACCCTCTTGAATACGAAACTCAGTATTGATAAACCAATAGGGACAGCAAGTGGATTAAGGTTTCTGGGGGGTACAGTGATGGTGGTGGTGGTGGTGGTGATGGTGGTGATGGTGGTGGTGGTGGTGGTGGAAGGGGTGTAAAAGGAAGCTAAGGAAGGAAAATAAGAGAGGAAAATAAGGTTTTGAAACTGATTGTGGTGGCAATTGTACAATTGCTTGATGTGATGGAATGATGGAATGATCTATCTGTATTAACTCCCAATAAAATGGTTTTGGAAAAAGAATTATAGTCTTGGGAACCCTATGAGTTTTGATTCAATAGCAGGGGAATATATCAATATACGTAGATAGATAGAGATGTAGATGTAGAGACAACGTGCTAAACATTAAAATGACACAGTCATCCTTTTCTAAACCTTCTTCCTTTGGCAATGCTGGAACCTGTGAATATTTTTTTCCCACCACAAAAAACAATATGATTCAACTGTGACTAGTATTATAGTACATTTAAAAGTAATTGACACTCAGAAATACCGAGACCACTCTCTTTGCACTCACTTCATAAAGTAAATAACCTAATTTACAGCTTCTTATTGCTAATGCCTTCGGTTCTTTAATGCTGACAAAGATAAAAGTAACAGAAGCCTCATATTAATGTAGAGAAGAGGCAAATGTGATATATTTGTACATACATTGAAAACAACAATGTGGTCAAGCAAATGAACATTAGGAAACGATAATATGCTGATCAATATTTAATAAAGAGCGAGCATGTAATAAAAGTTAACTTACATTTCTATCATTCAAACTGCAAATGAAAAAGCAACAGTTTTTTCTTTAATTTTAAAATGAAGACAATGTTTAACAAGAACACTTTAGATTAAAATCTTCAAACATGTAAAAAGATCTGGGTTTTATGGTAACTTCTTTTTCATGGTAACTTTTTTTGGTTTTGTTTTTTCATTTTTGTTTTGGGTTTTTATTTTAAACGTTTACTGTGAGTTAAATGAACTACAGAGCACATCACTTTTCCAAAGCTATGAGTTTGAGATTCAGCATTTTACTTCTTAAAAAATGATGTTTTATAAAACGTTTGTAATGTCCTGGAAAATTATCCTTTCTGCCATTCATTTTATGTCCTTGTGGGTTGTTGATAAGACAGAAGCCTTGATTTAAAGAGAGAAAGAGAACAATTATAAAGCAAAAATAATTGCTGGTCAAATATAATTTCAAACTTTCAACATATAATTTAATAAGTAATTGTTTAAAAACATTCTCTTAAAAGAAATAATCATGTTTGTAAATAATAGCACTCATCTTTGTAAAAACTCAATGCCATTTATACAGTGAGATGAATAGAGATGTCATATCCCTGTTTGCATATAAAATCTATCATATTTTTATAATTTAGGGGGTGCTTTTACTCATTTTCTTAGAAATGAGAAAGCCAAAATATACTAAAAGTTAGTAAAGTAACATATGAATTTTTCTATTCATGTGTATCCTATGAATATTTTTTCTGGAAGTGCCAAATTACTCAAAAATGTGTTTTTGTATGGTCAATATAGTTCATATTTATAATTACTAAAGCAGTACCATATATCTTTTGCCATTAGTATTATTTACATTAATATAGTTAAATGCAAAGTAGAATTTTCACCTATGTAATAGCTTCTAAAGGGTTAAAACTCTAAAAAATGATTTACCTGTGGAATTCTTTTTTTCCTCCTAAAATCAGAAATAATTTTCATTTATCAAGAAGTTGGAAATATATTTTTAGGCTCTCATATGAGAAGCAAGTCAATAAGCTTTTTAAAATTCATATGTACAAGTGTGATTATGAAAATAAACACCACTGTCACTTATTAATATGCTTTTGTCTCAGAAGAAAATGTCTGTATAGATGTTTTCCTTATTGGTTATGCATAAACTAAGAGGAAGAAATATAATTTTCTCTTAGAACTTATAGGTAACTTCCACATTTAAATGTCCTTCACTTAGAAATTAATCTACTTACTTCATTGTTAAAAAATCATAAATATCAAGTGGCAAATAGTACTTTAATTTCAAACAACTTAGAAAACTTGTTTGATAATTCTAGGAGCTATCTTAGAATTTTTAAAAATAAAAGAAATAGAACTTGTCTTTCCAAAACATCAAAGTAGGTGTGGCTATAGAACCTAGTAGTTCTGAAAGGTATAATACAACGAATCCCACAAATAGTAAACTGAGTTGTAGATGCTAGCTTCTGCTCACCTTTCTCTGGGAGCACACCATGGATATTTTAACTGTCCTCTCTCACATCGCACTCTTAGTTCAGATCCTGTAATAGATGACTCGGCCAGATAAGTATCTCTTCTACAAAGAAACTCAATATACTCGCCGTGGAGAATATATGGTCTATTGTCAAAATCCCATTTCAGGCGTAAATTATTATTTTCCATGGCAACAAAAGATAAAGTGCAAGGCTCTAAAAAAAAGAGAGAAAAGTGCATTGATACATCGTATTTCTAACAGGAAGAGTTGTGTTATCTACCCTTGAGGAGCTAAGACAAATAAAACTCCCAGGTGGGGGCCTGGCAAGTAAACTGATTAGGATTAATATTGGAATCGGACAATAATGTTCAAACTACACAGACAACATTCTGTCACATGGCTCTGATCTTGGATTTGGAGGGAAGTTATGTCCTGCCAGTCATTTACTTTTGTGCCATTATGACTTACAAATAAAGATTTTATCCAGAAGTCCTGGCAGTTAATAATAGTCACTGAAATAATGACCTGCCCTTTTTTCTTCTCCTTTTTTTCTTTTCTTTGATAGAGCAATTATATTGTAAAATAGGAAACAGATATAAAAAGGGTAAAAGAGAAGAGGTGTAGGTGAAGAATGCATGTGTGTCTTGCACACTGCGGGAGAAATTGGAGCCTAAGCATCTGAGAACACTGAAGCTGATGGTGGTAGGTACAGATGGTACAGAAGACCTGGAATCGTCCAGTGAGTGGGATGGAGGGAGGCTTCCTTTAAGACTGAGGTTTACCAATGGCTAGACAGACTTGGAGAGGCCATCAGAAAAGGGACTTGGAAACTCCCTCCCCTTCACTAGCTGCCCAATTAACCCATCAACCAGCAGGCATCAGAGATAGCACCCCCAAGGGATCGAGTACCATATGCCTTGTAACCAGAGAAGATGTAAAGATTGGTCAGTCTCGTGACTTTCCAGCCCCCTGGAATCTTTGGGTCATACAAATATCTTTTCAGTAACCTCATGGCAAACCATATGAGGTAGATATCAACATTTTTAGATTTGCTTCTCTAGCTAGCCTGCTGGTGATCTGGGTTGGTTCTCTGGTTGGTTTTAAAATCTAACTTTCATGTGCCAGTACATTTTCTTATCTCTCCCAAAGTACTCCTTAAAAAAAACTAAGCTGAAATGTCTCAGCTGTCCTCACCCCTAAAAGACACCAATGCAGGCCAACTCCTTTAGTGCAGGCAGGGACCAAGGTATATTTTGTAAGAATACTTGTATGGCGTGGTGGGCTATGCAAAGAGCTGCAACCCACAAGGTCAGCAGTTTGAAACCACAGTCACTCCTGGAGGAGCCCATGTAGGGAGGAGCCCTTGTAGGGAGGAGCCCTTGTAGGGAGGAGCTCTTGTTAACATAGTCCTTAAGCACTCACAGGAGCAGTTCCACAGTGTACTGTGAGTTCAGATTGACTGGATGGTTTGGTTTGGCTTTATACCTGTATTAACCAGGGGTCCAAGCACTTCGTTTTCAGAAAGGCATTGGAGTGAGTATAAATGAGGAACCGGAAGCAGAGGTGTTAATCTTTGTCAAACCACTCTCATTTGAAATTAGTTTTTTGTTTCATTTCGCTCCCATGGTGAAAGGTATAATGTCCCTGCGTAGGCTTCAGGAAACTAGTAGAAGCCCAGCTCCCCTCTGTTTCCTTCCCAGTCTGGGCATCCTCAGGTCCAAGGTCCTATTCAGCTCCAGGAGCATCTTGAAGTATTCATGCCCATTATCTAAAAAGTGGGGTAATCTTCATCCAGGGGCTTCGCCTTGGACTGGGAGTAGGTGGGAGTATGCAGTACTTGATTAATGCTTCCAGAGAGTGACTTGGTCTATGGCTTCCACTTCTTGTGGAAATTTACTTCGACTGTGTATCTATCTCTCCAAGATAACACTACATGCACACCTCGAAGCTGTTAAATCCAGATTACCATTGGAGTCTTCCAGCGCAATAATGATGAAGCTACGTCTATTCATGCTGCTACATCTGAAGTTGTAGTAAATGGTGGTGGTACAGTTAAAGCTGACCTCAGTGGCTCCTAGGGCACCATCACACTGCTGTAAAGTGACACTGTCCTCCAGATATGAAGCATGCAGGTTTCTGCCACCCAGATGAGATGCCTATGAAGGGCTAGGCCACCACTATCGCCAGAGCAATGTTCATGAAGAGGCCAGTCTCTCATGGACCACCATCAGAAGCTCTAACTTCTTTTAGACGTACATAGTGTGAACAAGGAAGGCAGGCGGAGTGGTGAGGTGACCTATAGCTGCTTGGGTAGTCTTTGCCCAAACTGGGGTTCCACCATGGCAGCTTCCGATAAGGCAATCCAGCATGTTTAACGGTCCTTGGAAACATGGTCTGAGCCCAGATATCAGGTGCTCCCAGAGTCCAGCACTGGGATTTTGAGAGTTAAACTCCCTGTTTCTTCTTTGTTAGGTTCAAGTCAATCCCTCAATAAACATTTTTACAGAAATGTGAAGATCAGCTGGATTATTAACACTAAACCCAAACTCCTAATGAGGTCACCCTACAGAGTTGAGCGTGTTCTTCTTTCATTAGAACTATTGAGATGAGCTTAAATTGTAAAATTCTAAGCATGGAAGTAGTAGCATGCCCTTTTCCATTGGAAGTACTAGTGTGCCCTTTTCCATACACGGCAAAACAAAACAAAAACTCCTCAATATCCACACATTTATTTGATCTATTCCATGATTAAAAATATTGGTAATAATTTTAGACTATGGTGTGGCTTATGTCTTTATTTGCCTTGTGGGTAATTTAGCACTGAGCACTGGTAGCTACTCTACAATAGGTTAAAAAGGTGGAGAGTTAGGTAAAATATAGAATGTTGATAATATATCTTTTTGTTGTTGTTGTTGATAATATATCAATCATATTCTTGTAATACAAGGGTAAGTCAAAAAGCATTGCTACAAGATCAAAGCAACCTTTATTAAAAAAAAAATCTTACAATGTGAGCTATTATTTCTTCACATTTCATTTAGGTGGGTACACTTCTGAAAGAGGTATTCACACCATGTCAAAATAGTAGTTTTGGTATCCCAGAGGGACTCAAATCATTCCTTTCATTCTTATTTTATTTTAGTTTGGGGAACCAAAGGGGAAAGATCAGGACTATAGGGCGAATGAGGTAAGGCTTTCCAATGAACATGTTATAGGACAGCCCTTGATACTCTCAGAAAATGAGCACATGTGTTTTGGTAATGGGGGTGAAATTCTTCAGTCCAACTTCCCTGGCCTTGAACTTTTTAGGGGCTAGTCTATGCTGTACACTGGGTCTACACTGCACACTTGCGGTCACCATGAGTCAGAGTTGCCTCAGGGGCAATTAACACCAAGCCCCCATACCAGCTGTAATGCAGAGGAGAAGTTGAGTATTCTCAGGAAGAAAATGACACCAGTTCAAGCTAAAACATGTTGTCATAGTACCAATTATGTTGCACGATAATTGTTTATATGTTTACTCACCACACTATGGCTTGTTCATATTGTAACCCATTCCAAAATGGTACCTGGAGTATGATATGATTTGCGCTTTACACATATTTGTAACATTTATGGTTTAGTGAGCAATATCGAAACCAGTGAAAGGGGCTCTGTATGCATTGGACCACAATGCCAGTGGTTCAAACCCACCAACAGCTCCAAAGAAGAAAAAAAGAGGCTACCTGCTCCCATAAAGGCTTATAGCCTCAGAAATCAACTTGATGGCAGTGGATTTGGGGTAATAGAAACCAATAGGTCAACAGGAACACCAATAAAATAATGGAAAAATAGAAAATTAATGTTATATTAACAATCTATCAATTCAAAAGATAGAAAGTAAAGTCAATATAAAATTTTACTTTATTAAGTAGTAGAATATTTGGTAGTACAGTACATACCTAAACACAGCGGTGCTGGAGTCCACTGTCCCTCTAAGCAGTAGGCATTTCGAGATCCTTGTAGGAAATAGTGTTGGAAACATTGGTAGGTTACTGAGGAACCATTTTCATAGGTGTCAGCTGCTGAACTAATAATGACACCATTTTTAATGAGTGGAGGAGATGTGCACATTTCTCGAAATTCTGAAAAGGAGTAATTAGAAAAGCATACAATGAATCGCTACAGCAAGCATCTAACACTTTTATAGTCGCAGAAATAAAATATTTCAGGTAATAGCATTTTTAAGGCTGCTTTCAATTTTTTTTAATCATTTCAAGCATTCCTGAAATCACTTCATACTATGCAACATATTCTTACACTTAGAATCTCACATTGTAAGATTCCCATTTTTAAGGCATCAACGTGAATTTGATTGTTCCCTTTCTGTATAACCACAAATACAAGCATATGAGAGACTCCTGTGAGCCGTGATCTCTGGAGGCACTGACTTCCTTGCCTCTTCTTTCAAAAAGCATGTGTCTGGGGAATAGGCTAGCCTGCCTAGATACTAACAAAGTCCCCTTCCGCTTCCGCTTCCGCTTCCATTTCTTCTGCTCGACCTCAGCCCTCTACGGCTGTGCTCCCAGGAATAGTGATGTTTTCATGAGAGCCTCGTCATAGTTACGAAGCCTCTTGACTTTTCTCATTCCTGAAATTGGCTGCTAAAAATAAAAAGTACATTGGCATAGCCATTGTATTCAAGTGCGCATGCTGACTGGATGCTGACTCGGATCGTGGACCCTGTTAGAGTAGAAGATGATGGTAGCGAATTACTTAAGGTCTTCACACTTTGCTCTAGGAGGTGATGGTCAAGTAGGAGATTGTCAAGAAGCACTGTTGCTTTACCTTTCTTGATGCACACAGGATAGTTCACGTCCCCTCTATCACAATGCACTGATAACTCAGACAGGGTGCTGGATGGAGGTAAGTCATAGCCCTCTTTGCATGCAAAATCTATTAAATCTCCATGTAAGACCTTTCCTTCATATTTCCACTTCATCTCTATGTTATGTCTGTTCATATCATCCACATTGACAGTACATGGCTCTGAAATACAAAATGCTCCATTAAACTCAACTCATCTGACAAATATGCAAGCTATGCATCTAAAATAAATTATGACAGTCATAAAATGATACTTATAATTACTGATAGGTATCATTAGTAAAGCTCCTCACTTGCAAAATGAAAGGTATACTTTATTAATATAAAGGAAATTATTTATTATCTATTGCCTATAAACCAAAACCATTGTCATTCAGTTAATTGTGACTTTTGGCAGCTCATATGTAACATAAGAGCATTTCCCAATGGGATTTCCTTGGCTGTAATCCCTCTGAAAGCAGGTCACCAGGCCTTTCTTCTGTGGTGCTGCTAAGTGGGTGTGAACAATCAACCTTTAGATGAGCAGCCAATTGCAAAGTGCTTGCACCACCCTCAGCCAGATTATATAAAAATGTTAAATCACTTAATTTGAAATATTAAAAGTATAGATAGTGTCTTTTGACCAATTTATTAATCATAATTATAAAATAAAAACACTATCAAATAAAAATCTGGAAATATAATATATACTCCCAGGTAATGTTCTGACCACTTGCTATACAGCAACATACAAAACAATCCCTGCTCTTGTGTATCTGATCTTCTAACCTGCAGAAACACATGCAATGAGGAGTAAATCTAACAAATGTCTTGTGGATTTCATAATGTATTAGAATATGTAGCCTCCACACTAGAACAGATGATAAAAGAGATTGGGAAAGAGACGTCGAAGGGAGGAGCTGGGGGTATGCCTAAATCAGAAGAGACCATTTGTACAGATTGGAAGGGTAGGGAGAGAGCTATGTTGTTTTCTGCGATAAGAGCATTCCTGGCCGAGGAAACAACCAGGGTGAAGGCCCAGAGCTGAGAGCATGGTGGGCATGTCTGCGGAAGGGCAAGGAGGCCAGAGGGACTAGAGAAGAGTGGGGCCAGAGAGGAGCAGTAGGGAGAAGCTAGAGAGGTTTCCTAATGTCTGAAACAATCATTGACAACTAGAAATCACAATATGCTGAACACTGGAGCAATGATGGTAAGATGTAAAACATCTCTCTCCTCTTGCCATGGTAACAAGAAATGATCTTTACTTAAGGTTTCCTTGACTGACTTTTTAACCAAGCCGAAATTTCTTGAAGCAACTTTGCCAGACATAGAATAATAGATTTCTTTAAGCGTTGCTCTTCCTTGTATGCTTGTTCAATTGCTAGCTTTTCAATGACTCTTTCGGTTCGGTTTCCATTCTCAGAGATGGTGATATTTTCATTCAATGCAATACTAATCACATCAACAGAAATATATAAATATAATATATTTATTATTAATATAAAGGTATAAATATATGCTTTTATATTAATAAAAGCACTTTTGAAAAGACATCAACAATAGAAAAAACTACAACAGGAGGAAGATGTATCTGATTTTGAATGTGAGCATCATCCTCAAAATAATTTAAAAGAAGAAACCACTAAAGAACAGGCTGA